ACATGCAACATGCAACATGCAACATGCAACATGCAACATGCAACATGCAACATGCAACAAGACTCTCAACGACGTTTTTTTAAATCGCTGTATAAGACAAGACAATAAAAAGTTGCTTGCCGATTTAATGACCTGGCTGGCTGTGTCAAGTTATGGGATCTTGATTTTACAGCTGAGAGTGTAATGTATGATACAAACGTTGTATGGCTATTATATATGCATAACTATTTACTCATAAAAGAGCTATATATAGGTGTATGTGCATCCATGCTATAAGTAATATTTCAAAGCCTCCAATATCGGACTGGACGGGATTTCAGGTCTAAGCAATTAGTTCCAGTCCGAGGAGCAGCCGCACTAATTGCGCGGACTTGAAATCCCGTCCAGTCCGATATTGGAGGCTTTGAAATGACTTCTCATCTCATTAATTATTCGACTTGGAGTAACTGGAACAAAATTAATTCGGTCCTAGGACTGAATTAATTTTGTTCCAGTTACTCCAGACTGAATACATTCCTTTCACGGCACTTTACCAGGTTTCAAGTAACATCATGTGACCCAAAAATAGCCCATTGATTGGCTGGTTTACTCATGACTTATTAATGAGAACTCTTGATAAGGTCCAATCATGCATAAATCTAGCGCAACTGAGTATGTGTCACCAATGAAAAATTGCGCCTAATTATAATATTAACGTAGTCTGAATGACTACACGAAAATATAGAGCTCTTGCCACTGCGTGCACCGAGGTCCTCGTTCCATGTTCATTTTATGCAGTTCTCGATTTCTCGATTCAGTGATTATTTTTATCATAAAAAACAGCCAGAGTTTGTGTCTCTTATCTCGAACAACTTGCTTATACTAATATGCATTTTTCAGCCTAACTGAATACAAAAAAACAAAAAAAAAAAAACACAAAAAAACTTGGCAGTTGTGTATAAATGGATTTTTTCATCTATATACAATTCATTCATGCATTTTATGAGCCGTTCCAAGGTTGAGGAGACATTTGGGTCGACACAAAAAATATAGGCCTTTTTGGAAGTATGTCCCCTTTAAACAGCATTACAATGCACTGTAATGCTACCTCGACCCAGTATTTCCTCAACCTTGAACGGCTAAATGCTACCGAGTTTGTCTCACTTAAGGACATTATACTATTTTTTCAGCCCGATCTATGAATGAATATATAAAGAAACTTAGCACAGACTTATAAGGTATAAACATATATAGGTGTATATGATTTGGTTTGTTGTTCAGGCGCCTCCAATTTCCCCGACGCGTTGTCGCCTGCGTTGCCGTCCTACATTCAGCTTAAGGTCCCTCAGTATAGAGAGTCTTATTGTCAGTTAACTACTAATGTCAGTTAAAACGTAACAGTTATAATTATGATAATTTTACGAGCGCTAGTCATCTCATAAAATTTAGATCTTATTTACCGAGCGCAGGGAGGTCTGTACCCGACCGAGGTCAAGATTTTCCCGTACAGACCTACCAAGCTCGGTTGATAAGAGTTTTATTATATGACCACTTTTCATTGAAAAGGACAAAATGTTTTCGCCGTAAGATTAATATGCGATCGGACCGGTTAATACTGGAGAATCTAGACCAGCCCGCGATGCGATCTATCCAATCAGATTGCTCGATTTGCTAGTGTCCAGGCTCTAAGATTCACGGTCATATAATAAAATATAATATTAACTAGTAACCAAAATAATGAAATATCAGTTAACCATTAATAACTTCTATTTTTTTTTTTTTGACAATTGTTAGCTAACTACTAGCCCCATTGGCATCCTCTGTTGAGTGGAAGGAGAAGAGCTACAACTATCCCCCCCCCTCCCCACCCCTAATAAACAATGTACCTTCCCTAAGGGCCTGCTGTGTTGCAACTTTCTGATTTATCAAGAACTAAAAAAATACAAAAATAGCTTTAACAATATTGCTGTATACAAAAAATAAAAAAGTAAAGCAATTTCTTTTTTGACTATAGTCGAGTAATAGTCTTTGACTTAAATTTTTCCAAAAAATGTGTATTGTTTAAGTACTATTTAAGTGCCGGGAGTGTGAATCCTTTATTTATCTTCGCATCTTCTTGATTTCCTTCACTTCCTCTCTTAAATTGTTTGCCAAAAATATCGAGATGAGTTGGAGAATGAATACTGCTATACAAACACCACCGATAAGAACCAAATTGTTAGCGAGCCAAGCTTTTCCTTGTTCAACGCAGCCTTCAGTGTAAATAACATTTCTCCTCTCTATTAGGGTCTTTTCTGGTTTCCTTATGCCATAGCCACATTGAGTGTTCAACTGTAGCTCAGCAAGGCAGCAGGAATATGGAACTCCACAACTTGCCTGAGGTTTTAGCCCATTAAAGGTTGCAGAGCAGTTGAAATAGAGATCGCTATCCCAGTCGTTGTATGATTCAACTCCACAACACTTAAACTCCTGTTGGGTGGCATCGATTATGTTTTTAAGATCTTCTCTCTTGGGATCTCTGTAGTGAGCAAACGCATTTTTCAACGACGAAGTAACTTTGCTTTCGACTTTTTCCTTGTACAAGAATCCGACCACAGCAATGCCCAACATTAACAGAAGAATGGTGGTCAGTATAGCAGCATACGTACAAAGAAAGCACGTATTTTCTCTCAGAGCTCCGATGCAACCGATGAACGTTATAATGAAAACCAGAGCTCCTAACAAGAAAAAGAAGATGGCAGGCTGAAAGGATAGGTCTGCCAGTTGTTTGTAGAAGTCTTTTGATTCCACCAGAACGTAGGTTCCGAATGCAACTATAATTGATCCAACTAGCCAAAAGACGACATTGAGAAAAAATAGCGAGAATTTGGTGCAATTAGAAGTCCTGGGTTCTCGGTGATATTTTGGACGACCTCGAGACATCTTCGAACCTTGGCTAAAACAATATTAAAGAAATTTAAAGGAAAAAGAGTTAATTAATGGCGTACAAGAAATGAAGACGATGTATAATCATAATCTTCAACAGCAAATGTCAGCAAATAAATAAGATTTTAGAAAAGTTTCTGAATAAACCTTTTCAATTTTCAATTCGCTTTTCAGAGATGGTCAGAAATTCAATACTTGAGTAACTAAAGCTTAAGAATTCATTGTCAAAAAGTCTTACCTTCGCTATTTGTGAAGTGAATATGTCCGTTCAAGACTTCTGACGCATTTCACTTAAGATTGGCATTGAAAAGAAGCTGTTTTAATTTATTTAAATTTAATGAATTTTAAGAGCTTCAGCCGTCCGTGTAAGCACACGTAGAACATATAATATATGTATATATATAGCTACAGATGTTCATTGAATACAGCACACCCAACGTACACACGGAAATGTATCAACAGCTTAGTGAAAATAATTCGGCTTAACTCAGTTTAATTTTTTAACCTATTTTATGTATATATATATATACATGATATCATTTCAGTATCATTCTAACCCCATTGGCTAAGTGAATGACCTCATCACCTATTCCCTAAAATCCACAGTTGTGTTTGTTTTGAAGTCCTTAATAACCAAGGAGCATGACGTCAGTAAAATAGTCCGGAAAATACGATCGATAGTCTCCCACAGCTAGAGCCGCTTTCGGTGTCGTCACGCAACGCTTCTCCCCTCATGCTTTAGTGCCCATCCAAACAATGGAAAATTTTCCCGATGGAATAAAGAATGTCCGACGAACAAACTCGAATTTATGAGACTTTTTAGTAATTATCGAATTTTTTTAAAAATGTAACCTTTAGTATGCAATGATTCTAAAGACAGACATTTACGATTTTCAGCAATCGGTATCTGCATGCTGTATAGCGAAAACGCATTTCAGCTTGTCCGACGTCATAGCAACAGTAACTAGGGAAGTAGCACAATGAATGTGGCATCGGTGTATTGGGTAAAAGTTATTAGATTAAATATTTTCATCTTATTGGAGCGAGCCTTAAGTTGTCATAAATCATTTCTATGGGTCTCTTAAAATACAAGTTTTACATTTAAGACGCGATTACACGGAGCAATTTTCTTTGCAACTCGTCTCGCAACGGCGTTGCGACACAAGTTGCATGGAGCATTGCAGCGTGTAACCTATAGCGCACTTTGAAAAAAAATGTTGCGAGACAAGTTGAAGCAATCGTTGCGAAAAGTAGAACTCGTTTCCACTTTCGGCAACGATTACGTCYTCGTTGCACACGCTCTTGCAACTTGTGTCGAACGCTGTTGCGAGACAAGTTGCAGAGAAAATAGCTCCGTGTACTCGAGCCTTTATGCTATGAGAATTTCCTACATTCTCGTACCCAAAGCCTTCTCAGCTTTCTAACGAAAATGCATTTTCTACAAAGTGCACTAAATTTGACTCTTTATTGGCTCCTATAACAATAAAAAATGTCTTGGTACACGAAAGCGATAATGAAGTAAATATGTATACTTAAATATATAAATTTGGCGGCAGAAAAAAATTAACCTTTGCTTTATGCTAAAATTTTCCAAAAAGTGTCAGATTCATCATATTTTTTCCCCTTCAAAGTTGTTGTAATTTTGTTACAATTGAAAAGTTTACATCGACTTTACATGTACAGCCTGTTACACATTGTTTTTCGGACATAACAAAAGGAGACACACCATATGCATTACATACTCTGTAGATTGGTAGATTTTTACAGTGATGTTCAAAAGCCTTTAATCACCATTGTCATTGTTTTACATCATCATCATCATCATCATCATCATCATCATTTGTGAATTTTCTTGCTACTTGTTAACTAACACATTGTACTTCATTTTTTAATGTGATGTGCGATTAAACTATTATTATTATTATTATTATTATCATTATTATTACCGTTAGTGTAATTAGTGTAATTAGTGCTGTTGCACTATTGTTTTCTGTTGTGTTAGTCTGACTACCACACTGTATTGAATACACTATTTCATCATAATTGGTTATTAAAGCTTGGTCTTGAATCATATCATAAACAACAGCCTATTCCAATTTGGAGGCATAATACTAATCTACTAACAATTCATACCTATGACTGTAAGCTGCATGGCTACTAATAGCGCCTTAATATGCAGCCCGTAAAGTCCTCCACTGGTTATGAATGTGAAGTGCATCGTGACCATGTGAAATGCGCTATATAAGAGCTCCATTATTATTATCATAATCATATAGTCATCAATAGTCTAACAATAGTGGAGTTCAAGGTTAGTGTGTGTTGTGACCACRTGAAATGCGCTATATAAGAACCCCATTATTATTATCATAATCATATAGTCATCAATAGTCTAACAATAGCGGAGTTCAAGGTTAATGTTGTTGTCATGTTTATACATACATGTACAATAGGTTTGTTAAAAAAGACCCTAACGACCCTCAAATGCTAACACCAATAAAAAAGGAATAAATGCAAGCACTGAGGCAATGACAGGGATATTGGCAGGCCCCCTCCTGGCATGGACCTCTGGTTTTGTAGTTATGTATATTGGCTCTCTTTCTTTTTCTTCTACAGGGAGTAGCACTACTTTTTGAAGACCACTCCTGTCATGCTTAAAGCCAATTCCACTAAGGCATGGCTGGTCAATTGTTTTGTGGTAGGCCCAAACAAAGCTTCGATTTCCAGGCTGCAAAACGACAAAAATATATAGCTATAGTACTTCCTGAACAAATAAATTAATCTTTATTTCACTGTCATCCAAATCTAATCGTGAACACTCCAGTATATTTTAATTTGTTTTTTATTGGTGAAAATACACTCACACTCACTACCACTACATTACAATATGCAATGCACACAACGATCAACTCAGATGTTGACTTTTAAAAAGGGAGGAAACTGGAGAAACCAGAGAAACCCTTGTAGCATAGGTCTGGATAGAACTACACATAAAACAAACTGGATTCACATATGGTGACCGCAGGGATTGAACCAGCATAGCGCATGAAAGGCCAAAAAAAACAACAACAACAACAAAATTCCTAATTTTAAGAACAGTAATTAAAATATATAACCTGTTACTTACAGTTATTTGGATATCTCCTTTTCTTGGTCTGAAATGAGTGTTCACTGGTTCATTAGTAAGTCTTTTACGGTTGAACTCCAGAATAGTCTTGCCTTCCTTTTCTGATGCATTTGTGATTATCCAATCATTGTGATCATCAACATGCTCAGGACACTGGGACCTGTTCTGGTTTATCAGCAGATAATCCTAACAAAACAAAGAATGAGCAAAAAATAGCTGAATTAAAAAAATTCTTTTTTTAGATTTTAAATATTTTTATTGGGGGGGGGGGGGGGTATAGTAATGCAACACTAATATGGTTAAAGAAGGGAATGAATTTATCATATTTAATAATTTAAAATCTATATATCAAGTCAATGTAATGTCTAGTATATTATAAGTTTACTGTCATGTCATATCAGGACTCCATTGAAACTAGACTTGCTAAACTGGATGTTCCTGTATAAGTATTGACTCAAATAAAATAGAGAATAAAAAGAATGATTTAAATGGGATTTGGTGTCCACCTTCTACAGAGTGGCTTTTATTCCACTGAAATGTAATTGGAATTTAGTACTTGATTTCTGAAGAGAAAACCCCAAAACCCAGAGAAAATCAAAACATGAGAAAAGAAATGTTAGACTCCATTAAAAATCTTTCCTTTTAAATCTGGTTTATAATTTAATTATTCATAGTTCTAAGTCCATAGGATTTAAGATATTTTTAGTGTTAAAGTTGCATATTATTTAAGGAATATAAAACAGCGCACGTGTCTATATACTGTGATATAAACAATTGATGGGAGCTGTAGAGCAAGAGAGAAATCTCGGGTGCTCAACAGCTCCCATATTTTGCGCGAGCTTGTCTCTGTTCTCTGATATAAACACGGTAGCCAGCCAATCAGCGCTTACATTATATCTCAAATATTTTATAATAATAAATATGAAACGTGCACGCATGTATCTGTGCTGTGATATGAACAGGTCAGGAGCTGTAGAGCAAGAGAGGAGCAAGCTTAGGAACATGAGGTGTACATGTAGCGGTGTGTATTTTGCTTTTTGAGTGCACTGCAGCTCCAAAAGTGTTCATATTGACACAAGTGAAAAACTTCTGCTCTGAATCTGTATGGAAATTAGTCGAAACATATGTAAATTTGACTTTCAAACATGCTGTAGTTGTGCATCAGTTGGTAATTTAGAAAGGAAAAAAAATATATATATATATATATCTGTCAATATATATATATGTATAAGAAATCTGTGAATCAATTTTCTGTAAAATAGTGCTCAATACATCGATAGAAGTAGAGCAGAATATTTGTTTGAGAAGAAAAAGTCAAGACAACATTTTTCCCGACAAGCCTTGACTAAATCCCCTGAAGAGTGAAGCAATTCATGAAACAGGCTTGTCGGGATGTTTTTTTTAGGATGTTGTCTTGATTTTTTCTTCTCAAACAAATATATATATGTATATGTATATAAATTTCTTTCATTCATTTTTAACTCGTGGATACGCGAAGCGTAGAAACGAGTTATTGTGAGGGGTCTGAATATGCAAATGTGTCACTCGCTCACTCACTCACTCACTCACTCACTAAGATGTTAGCAGATCRATAATTAAACGTTTGTCGATCGTCTTATGTCATCCGATTACGAATGTTACACGACTCTAACAAGCACAAAGCTCTTATACAATATAGATTACTTATGATATTTATATGAGGAAACGAAATGCTCATGTTCCATGTGGGATACATTTCTATCACTTGTAGACGCCGTGGGTGCCCACTGTGCATGCGCACACTCGCACATAGTTTTATCTTCGAATTATTCATATTAAAAGAATCAAGGAAAGATGCAAGTTGAAGTAAAATTATACAATTARCGCCTGAAATAAAATTTCAATGAGTTAGACCTTTTTTTCTGATGTATTTTAAAAAAGTAAACAAAAACGCTTATTAGGTACGACGTCAACATTTCGATTTCAGACTCAGATTAGAACTCAAGAAGAGAGTCTGATTTTAAGCTCTGGAGGAATTTATTTTCCATAGGGACAGCTCAAAGTCACGGTGGTATTCAGCAATAAAATCTCATAAACTCGATCGAGAGAAGTCTTATTATTACTGATCAACAGTTGTATTTACTAAAGTAAACTTCTTAAGAAAATAATCAATGTAGATGTATACGTAGATCGTAGAAAAAATAACAAAAGACGAAAAAAAGACCAATTCCAATGGAGTTTTGAAGGAAGTTCGGCTAGTTTTGTCATTTAAATAAGCCGTTCTGAATAAAAAGTAGACTGATCGCCACGCATTACAAGATTACAAACAGCCGAAGCAATGCTCAGATTGTATGTTGAAATGTGCGAAGGTCTAACGAGAATTCGCTACAATAAATAATCATTAATTTATCGACTTGGATGAAGGCAAAATAAATAGCATTTATAAACGCATTTCTATAAAATATTTGCTCAGTTCACAGTGTAAAGGAATAGTTTCATCCGAAACAAATGTAGGAGCCATGACCATTGAAGGTCAAGATAAGTAGTAATGTAAATCAACACGCATAACGCAACGCTTTATGTTTATCGTCCCCATCGGCCGATTATCTTGTATATTCAGTTTTTCAGCTCGTAGGTCGAATGTTTGCTGGAATAAAACACACAGCCCGCCTTTGAAATTAAAAACAGAGAAAGCGTTTTCAAATAAATCTTTTTCAATTATACTCTATACTTGACTCAGTTGACTCTATCGAAGTCGTAGTCGAAGTCGTCTTTCGTATAATTGAAGTTCAGGCAATTAATTCATCACAGAAATCGCTTTCAAACTCAACAAAATAGCGAAGAACTAGGTGTTAAAAGGAAAATAAAAAGGACGATTACTCATCTTACTAGAAAAATTGAGTATTCAAAATATTAAATCGAGCGAAGTATTTGGAATCCTTTGAGAATGTCAACAAGCTGAGGGCACAGGAAGACCAATCTAAATATTCGAAAAGTGTAACAAGTATCCACTAGTTCGCCTAAGGGCCTTTGATTTAGTTTTTAAATCATTATTTTACTAAGTGATTTTATTTCTTTATATTTGATTAGATTTATATATATATATATATATTTGAGTAGCTTAGTTCAGTATTATCATACTTAGTATATTATGCAACAATGAAAATGTATATTGATATTGGCGCTTTACAAGTTAATAAATATTATTATTATTATTGTTATTATTTATTTTCTTATTCAAACTCTTCAAAAAATGTGGAAACCTTAAAAAAACTTAAAAAAAGCAATGGCTATTTGTATAGGAAATCGCACGATCTTGAGTACAATTCGTATGGTAACAGTTCACCAACTAATTTCTATTCGTGCGTATATTTAAAACTCATTGTCTAGATAAGTTTGGGGTTAGGTACCATGGTGCGAGCTGTGCGCATCAAAAGGGCTACGCCCTACCATGGAGGTAACCATGGCGACCGGGCCACAGCTGAGGAGAACCACACTATTTAAATATCCATACGAATAGAAATTGCAGGTCAGCGAACGGTTACCGTACGAATAACCACTGCCTAAAAAAAGCTGGAGACTGTTAGTCATTAGCATTTAAAAATATGAATACAAATGTAAGGCGAACAGGGCCAAAAGTACATCAAGTTTATCAAGTAAGCTGAAACAAACGTTAGGGCAAAGAAAATGTAATTATTAAAATGAAACGAAACAGAACTAGAGTAAAGGCGTGTTTTGTTCAAAGTAAATTTTAGATTCTGGCTCTTGCAAGGCAGTAATCTCTAGACGTTAAGACATTGTAGTAGAGTTTAAGGAGGGTAAAAATACATCGTTTAAAGCCATAAAAAATAAATTATTCTTAAAGAATAACGTGTAACAGCAGTTCAGCTTWAAAACATTCTTACTTTTGAGCATTGTGCTGTATCGATGGTTTCGTATCGATCGCATAGCCAATGCAATGTTTGCTTTAGCTAAACCTTCAGTGTCATCAGTAAAAATATATTTCAAATGGAAAAATTGAAGTTCTTACCAGGCCATATGTTGAACCATTTGAAGTATAAACTCCTGCCACCAAGGCATCATAGGTATCCATGCCATTCATCATCCAATCTTCACCATACAACAGAGTTATACCAAACCCAATCCATCCCAGAGCTTCGGCCTCAACTTTGAAATAAAATGTGTCTGTAGCGTTGTTAAATGTCCACCAAAGCTTGTACTTCCCATCGTCCATGGTAGTATGGTTCGTATAGACCACATCGGCATTGATTATGCCGGAAAGTAAGGACAGAAATAGAGGTAAAAGTAGTGTTATAAACATGGCTTCCTGCAAAATCGTCTTCTATATCTCAAGCTGTTTGAAAAATGCAAAACACAGGATGCCCAGCCCATATTTTTAATTGACAGATAAAAGTAACTTATAAGCCAATCAAGAGACGTATTATATTATAAGCCAATCAAAAGACGTGTTATATTAATGCGCCTGAAGACCAAGTACGGAAAAGTTTTTTTCCCCGCGAAATTCATTGACGCTTAATCGTACAGTATGATTATCAAGAAAATTATGAATCTTGCTGTAGAACATGCAAAAGTTCAGTTTCTTTTCTTTAATCAAAAAACAAAGTCTTATATTAAGCTTACATGTGATGTCTTGGACGATATGCAAGGGTTTTTGATGGCTTTATTTTATCAAGAAAGATTTGCAGTTTTAAATGTCTTCCATCCAGAATAAAAAAAATCTAAGTTTTAAAAGATGTAAAAGACAGGATTTTGAATGGCTAAAGCGCCCAGCAAGAGGAGATATATATACAAGACCACGAGATCAAGGTAAAAATATAATATTTTTGTCCATTTTATATTAACAATTTAGTGGACTATTACATACACTGCACTCTGATTGGCTACTCTTCTATAGTCTATCAACCAGTGCGTGATAGCCCACTAGTAATCCGCAACCCTTTAGCGAAACCCCTGTGGCTTGTGATAAAAAGCCTTGGGGACACTATATGTTCTTTGTTCTTTGTAGAAGGTGTATCACATACTTGCTGAGCCAAAATGGGTGAAGACTCTTTCACAGCCTTCATTAGCAGAAGAATCTGGTGCCAACCCTAATGATGTATTAAGTGAAGTAGGCTAAAACGCTTACAGGTAGGGGTGTCAGTTGATACTGACAAATAGCACTATTTAGTGACTAATAGTTGCTATGACTCAACTAGAACATTCATCATACAAAGACAAATACACAAGAGACCATTTGTGTCTTTTGTTTAATAAATGTTCTGGTTGAGTGCTAGCAACTATTAGTCACTAGATAGCTACTATTTTTCAGTATCAACTTTGTTTTTATTTCATGGTTTTACTGCATGCGCTCTATTTGTTTTAGAGCTGTTTTGATGTTTCTATGATCTTTACAAATTGGCTCCTCTTAATAACAATCTATACCATTGTGAATTTCATGGAAACCAAATTTGTTACAAAAAATTTCCTTTCTGGAGTTTTTTTGAGTTTGCAGAAACAGGGATATTCAGCACACTATACTTTTATGAATGGTAGTTACATAAAAGTCAGTGTGTGTGAAGGAGGCATGCTCCTAAACCAGAAATCTTTAGCATGGGTAAAGTTTTCCCATTTCAGACCACATGTCATTCCCTTGAGAATAAAATTCTTCGTTTGAGTTGTATCCATATTCATGTGTCTTCTTATGAACAACCGTTAAACAAAGAAATGATACTCTAGGGAATTGCATGTGGTTTGAAACGGGAAAACATTACGTCAGATCTAAAGAGGTCCATTATGGTGGGTAGACTGCAAGTCATCCCTCTATTTTACTTGATCACTGTCCTCAACCCACTCCTCCTGGGGACGTTAGACTACCTACTTATCTGGTTTAGTAATTTGTTTTCAGAGAAAACACCAAATACTGACCAAGGGGGATAAACTGCTAGCAGTTTAGTGGGGAGATTAAAGATGCCACAATTAGAAAAAGGATCGCTTTGAGAGAAAAAAAAAAAAGAAGATAAATGTTTTAAACTATTCTTCGTTTGCAATAGATGTCATAGCTGCCATGTTGGAAGAATTTGACAAAAGGTTTTTCAATGAATTMTTTTGTTATATCTTCCAACATGGCGGACATCCCTTTTGTTATTGTGCTCTATTGGGATTGATTGCAAACCAAGAATACATTAAAACAATAGGTCTTTTGCAATAACAGGTCACGTTACCCCAAACTGTTAAAACGAGAAGTTGTGGCAAAATGAATAACAGAAATGAATAAGAGCACTAACTGAGGTACCAAAGCCCTATTACAACTCATTTGTAAATAGATTCTTTTACTTTGAATGTTTCATAAAAATAGACCAATTCAGCTAAGKCAAATGTTTTACCCAATTCAAATCTACTGAGAATACTTTTATTTTTTTGTCGATTATTTTTGGATATCATATCCATATCAATGTTTCGTTGAATGTAAATATAATGGACAAAGAAAAGTTTCCCCAGTAGATTTACAGGATTTAAATTGGGTAAAACCTTTTGTTAGCCAAATTGGTCTATTTCCTTCATCTTACCAACCTACAAACTTTCTTTTATTTGGATACATGAATCAATTTTCCATAAGCGACAATAAATAAATAAATAATAATATATTGAAATGACTTTTCCGAAAATGGGAATACATGTCATAGGTAAAATAATCTTTTTGATAAATCTAACTCTTAAAACTTCATATAATTTATCTTACAAAACTGACAAAATCAGCGAAAAAGGTGATAAYGAGAAGCCCCAGGCAATACCCAGGGAGGTTGGCACTCGCTGTTGGAGTGGTGGTGGCATATGTAATAACAACAAGCTGCCTAGTGTCATCTGGGAGGGGTAGTAACATCACAGGCTCTAAGCCACTTTTATCATGAACCAGAGATATATTATTGAGGTAGGGTGTGTCGAGTGTTTTGTGGTAGGCCCATGCGAAGTATCGAAGACCAGGCTGCAAAGAAAGAGCAAGCTGGATTAGTTCTTTATATCAATCACTGCCATAAATGCGCCGGAATCGTCATGGAAGCTGTATTGTTGAAGTGGATTAAAGTGAAAGGCTTTGCATGTTGCAGGTATGAAGCAGTGAAAACTGCAAGTCATTTATATTTAACTTTGTCCACTTGAAAATATGCTAGCCGGCTTGTATTTAAAAGGCTCTACTTGGTGGGAGATCCCTTCGTATTATTCGTATTACAGCGAGGACACTCGAACTCTTCGTGTTTTTGTATTGTTAATATTCGTGTTTTTGTATGGTCACTTCTTTAAAATACTGTTCTGTAAATAATCCCGTTTTATTTACTTTGATACTCGCGTAGTATATTCGAACTCAATGTTTTATTTTAGAGCGCTTTGAAACAAAAAAAAAAAAGTTTATGACCTAAAAAATGCTGAACTCGAAATGCTCATCATACGTCCAATGGTTCTTCACTGTAATATATATAATTGCCATCGCTTTTGAATGTAAGATTATTGATAAAACGCGTATATTTGGTAAAAATATAACGTTTCGGCTATAAATAGTGATGAAATAATAATAATAATAATAATAATAATAATAATAATAAAGTCATGAAGGTTGCTTTGCATGGCTTAACAAGTGGGTAAGCGCTCCTACCCATTGTGTTACAGGCATTATGGAATTGTACGAACAGCTAACCCCAACGAGAGTCTACTCCGCCTACAARACGGGAACAACAGACAAGAATAATGTCACATGCAGAATGTGCGGCGAGGGTTCCGAATGTCTGGCACATGTACTGGCTGGATGTCCGTCTCTTGCACAGTCCAAGTACCTGGATAGACACAACGCTGCTTT